TGTATAACATTTTCTGTAACCACACAGAACAGCAACAACCACAAATACCTGAAAGTGCAATACCACTGAAGGCCACTAGGCACAGGCTCCAAAAAATGTCAGACACCTATAGATCCATTTACAAAGTGTCAACTTCTCTCACAAGTACTTTTTGTCCACATTTTTTCCTCAAGACAATATGACGTCATTAGCTTAATGTCCTCCTCCTGATCAGTGAGCTGTTTGACATATTGGAAAGTATTCCATATTTGAGTAGATATTAGGCCTTCAAGAGAGGTATGTTTGGGGGTGTGACTGGTTTGATTGACATAGCTGGTTAGAGCCAGGAGGGTCAGTGGACTCAAGCCAAATGCACATAGTTTTGAGTAAGTTACAACATAGCAGTGACGGTTATTTTGTCGAGTTAAGAGTTATAAAGATGTTTACTTTTTTCAAATGATTCCGATTTTAATGCTCTGTTATTTTTTTAATTTAAGTTTCAGGTAGAATGTGCTTTACCATAGTTAATGTCTCAGTGGTTTTGTATACTTCGGCCATGTGTCTCACTCCCCCTGCTGCACCCAGCTTCCTACCATAAAGCCACACTCCAGTAAATTTAGCCCAGTGGGTGTTATCTCCTGCTACACCAATAGAGTGTAGGAGTACAGCCTTGGTGTCAAACTGTGACAAATATTTTCAGTTTGATGTGTGCTCTGTTTAACTTCCAGGCTATGCAAACAATAGGCAGAATCATTTACCAAGTGGCACTTTGTTAGATTTAATGAAGATCTCGGAGTTTGACCATAAAACAACCACTATGCAGCACATACTGTATGTACCGATAGAACTGTTTCACGGCACACATTTTGATTTGCTACAGTGTGGAAAGCACAGGCAGAATGAGTGATGGCTCAGTTCCATTAGGTATCCTACTAAGCTCTGACAGTGAATCAGCATGCACGGGCACACACAGACCTCTCCTGATCGAATGCTGCCATCATTATTACACATGTGCTTCCAAGTAACGGTCTCTAGAATGAATGAGCATGCAGTGTTTTCAAGCTGACTCTTTTATTGCATTTCATATGGATGCCACTTAATTGTTAAAACCAAACCTGGAGACACATACCAAACTATAAACTCCTATGGAGACTGTAACTTCAGGATTTTTCAGCTCTAGCAGACATTTCCACCCTGGTGACTGTCTTCAACGTCTTGTATAATTCATCAATACTTCTTTGGCTGTGTATGGGAAGCACTGAAGTGATTCCACAATGCACAAATGTGCTCATGTTGTTCACATCATTGCTGTCATTATTATGCATTTTGCTGGGTTCTGTTGAGTTTTATGTCCCAAGGCGGCCTAAATGTTATTTCAGAAGCTGTTCCACCCTGGCGAAATTAAGTTTCTAGAGGAAACAATGTACTTCTTTGCTGTATAAATGATCAGATATTCTGGCATCAGCAGTGTCAGTCGAAATATGCTGCTATTTGGCTTTCAAAGCTTGATATATGCTATTAAAAATCTTTTTATAAACTCCTGAACTACCAAAATGAAACAAACAAACAAAAAAAAAAAACTGTGTGAAGTGAGGTAAAAAGCTACAAGACCTGTAAACATAGGTGTCATGACGGAGCGATCCAAAAGGCAATTAAAATACCACATCATAAAGACAGGAGAATAACTGACATGACTGGAGGGAAGAAGACACATCATCGGAGTCATAAATAATAATAATAACCATGTTTACCTTGGAAAAGGCAGGAAACACAGATATGTTTGAGGACCCTTTTTATAACTCAATAGCATGGGCTGTGCCGAAAGATAACTGGAGTTTCCAGTTTGAAATTATGGATGGTCTGGGTATCTGAGCCATGCAGTCATGGGCTAAGGACTCGACAAGTCACAGATATAAGAATGTGCCGTGTCATA